GGTGGATATTCTAGGATTAAACGAAGGCTTGATTCATTCAATAAAACTAGTCTTTACACTTAAAATCTATTTATCTACGTAATTATTACTCGTATAATAACATTAACGTCGGAATCGCAACAAAAACGAAGCCGATTGAAAGATTAATCTTCATTTTCATGTCGCCACATTTAAGCCATAATTTCTTGTTCGAATTCAGTAAAGGTGGATGTGAATGCTTTTAAAATGATTCGAAATTAACTTCTTTTGCGTGATATTAGCGTTTACGACCGTTTATTTTTAATCAACTTCAAAAATATGAGTAGGTTCTCAATTTTACTGTTTTTCTGTATCCATATTACGGTTATTTTGTCTGAAAGAGTATATTCTCGAAATTATCCCATTACAACTTCGACGAAATTATATCAGTAGTTTTGATTTAATAAAAAAAGATACTGGGAGTACTACATATAGGAGAGTAAATTAATAAAAATGTTTATTTTCATAAATAAACAGACATGAAAGTCGTAAAATAATTCTTATTATGACAAATTCAAACTACATTTGAAAACGTAAAAACTTAGCCATCCAATCTTCGTCCGAATCTAAATTATTCGATTCTTTTGAAGTTGTTTTTTCTTCAAGTTTTTGTCTAATTGTCATTCTTATTAGATTGATTCAAAAATAAATTGTTGGTTTTAAAGAAAAGTAATTATTGCCCATTCAAACTTTTACCCGTCTTTTCAATCCTTTCATAGGATTCTTATGAAATCTATTCTACGATTTCTATTATATCTTGTTTAGTGTATAATAGTATTTCATATCAAATATCATTTAAATGGTTTCAGACCGAGTTTCGAATCAATATTATTAGTAAGGTAGCATTCTTCCTTGTCTGTTTTCTATGGCTTCCAGCAGGCCTACCCCGTGACGAAATTGGCTTCGATTTGATTTATATTAATCAAAATGCACTCAACGTCAAATTCATCCAGCCCAAGGGTTCAACTCGATATATTTAAGATTTGTTATGATCTAACAATGCATATATAGAATATAACGGTAGTCCTAGCAGCCGTCTCTGTCCGTTGATGATTAATCTTTTTCATCCTTCTCCAACACTACAAAAGCTCTTCTCTACTCTGAATAATTTCTTGGGTATGACTGCCATATCACCTTGAATAGGTGTTCCGCTCTCTTAACCACTGTTGCTTTCATTATTTTTATTAGAAAAGCAATAATATTATTACTATAGTCCTTATACATATAAAAGTTATCGAATATATGTAAAAAGCTGTGAAATCATAACAGATATGATACGTGAGATAGTATTTAGAAAATAGGCAGTGTGTTTTTTTCTTTTCTCAAAACATCGTAGTAAAATCCAAAATACTCATACAATTGATTTGGTGTAAAAGATAAGTTTTATTTGCATTAAATTTCTTTGATGATAAGCATTTTTATTTAGATAAGGATTCAATATCACTTACTCAAATAAACGCTTAATAATGATGAAAATAATTACACTTTTAAAATAAAGCTCTCGAACTTTTGTTTAGAAAGCATCCCTATATCTCTTACCTTTTAGGCAGCGCTCACAAAAATAGCGCCCTTGTAAGTACTTCTATTCCTAGGGAACCCTTTAGTGTAGTTTTGCACAAACATCCAAACATACAAACTTTCGCATTTATAATATAAGTGGGATATACTAACTTTGATAGCCAGAGAACTTGTTAGAGAAATCAAACGAGCCGATATTTGACAGGGCTGTGATACTTAATTACGAAGCTCTTAAGCTCTTAAGGCCATATTCCAGTTCTATCATTAAACTCTGAATATTATCTTAGCTCAAAGATCTTGTTAACAGAAATCAACTTGCTCTCCTTTTGCGATGGAAGACAGATATCACTAAACACAAAAAAAAAATATTTCAACGATTACCAGTTTAATTAAAGAATTGTAGCGAGACTGACTGAGCCTCGAGTCCAAGATCTCAGTTTACTTCGTGCTTCTTTGCTTTTCAAGGTCAGACTAGGTGATTGTACCAGTCGGTACGTATCACACGATAAATTATATCAATAATTCAGTGATTTTGCTTACACTAACCGTCGATTAAGCATATATTCAATATGAATTAACAGTGGCTCTCTTTTGCTTTTATAACAATCATTAAAGTGACGTAACCTATTTGTTATTTTTAAACATTTCCGTGGACCTATTTAGCGCAAGGTTGGATATTTGTATAGGTGCACTAACCTAGCTAAATGTCCTAGGCATCGATGTTAGGATGCCGACAACGGTAAGCTTTTTTGCGTGGAAACAAACTGAAATTGCACTTGCAATTTTTTTACTATCGGTATAATATAAAATATAGTTTCCAAGTAAATAGAGATAAGAGCTTGTTTTGCCATTTTCAGACGCACGCAGGCGCCACGCGCGGTGCCCACTTTAAATCAGAATAAAGAAAAGTATTATAAAACACTATTGTAAAACTAATTCTATAGATCCTAGCAATGTTAGCACCATAACCGTCTAATCGTAACGAATTTTTATCATTTAACTTGATCCGGATGGGAATCAAACACTTTTGTTATTTCTTACAGTTTGTTGTTGCCAATCAATAACTTCGTCACCAACATAGGTAATTACGACATTGTCAAATTAAAAGTCTGGATAGATACGTTTACTAACAGGATTAGAAATAGTTATCTCACTTCATCTGATTTAAGGTTTCTATTTTCTGATACAGTTAGAACACAACCGAGTTCAAATATGTACATAATCTATTCGAATTTGAAAATTTTAAGAGTGAACCAATGATTTAAATTATATATGAATAATTTGTCACCTCTACATAATTTGCCGTTTATTGAATGCTGTTTTTGATGACGTGTGAGTGACGATAGTTTAATGGAACTGTCCTCTGCGGCGTGGGCTGGTCCGGCAAACATTTACCTCCTATATGCACGGAAGCAGCGCTTAATGTTGTTGTCGATGTAGCTGCTTAGACGCTCCGGGCGAAATATTCATCGTCCATTACACTATTTTTTTTCGGGCAAAAACCTCAGACTCCAAGCCAGACTCGGCAAATTTTTGTGTTCATATTTATTATAACACTAGCAATACAATAATGCAACACCTTCATTTTCTTATTGCAACCATTTTCAACCATAATCATTGATATTTATTCAATTTTGGTTAAATTTTAATAAATGGCAAATTATTTTGCATCATACATAGGTTTTAAAGTTCAATGTTATTCTTAATCAACATGGCCATGATAGCAATACACTGTAGGTCGTTTTAAATGATACATATTAACATTATATCTTAGCAAAATCAAATGTCTTATTTTCGGTTAATCGGTAATGATAAGAACTTACCTAGTGTCTCGATTCTGATAATGCTAACATAATAATGGCATCTCATTGGCGTTTCATCTAGCTATCATTTTGACACTGAGAACGGAGACAAATACTTTCTTTTTTGTGGCGTAGTAACGAGAACTCTCAAGAAAGCTGTTATTCCAATAACATGGCGAGTTTACCCATTCTTGCACCTATGTCAATGACATTTTAGTGACCCATTAAAATGTCATTGACATAGGTGCAAGAATGGGCATTCGCCCACCCCAAAATATCACTTACAAAAAAATTTGGCAATCGTCTCCGGGTTAACCTCTGGACAATGTCTATATACACCCATGGCCATTGATACCCAATAATAGGTATTCTGCTCCGTTTCAAATAGTACTTCTGACTGTTCATTTTAATTTAAAAAAGCTATAAAACAAATATTTCAGTTAAAAAAACACGTTTTCTTGTCTTAAAATTAAATCAAACTTTTTTTTCATACCCGCGAAAACGGTGTTCGTCATATTCATGACGTCACTGTGAAATGTACACAAAACAGATGCCTATGCATCTGTTTTGTGATTAAACATATTGTGATCATAGAAGATTAAAAGATGTCAATAAAACAAGAACAATGCCATCTAAAGATCGATTACGAAATAAAAATATATAAATAAGCTAAGAACAGCGCCATCTAGGAATTTGATTTATAATTAATAAGAATATATTTATGACTAATCTGACAGTTGTCGCCATAGTGACGTCACACAATAATGGGACGTGTTCAAGTCACGTGACACACGCAAAAAAATCACAACTTAAAAGTTGTGATAATAATGTAATCGTGCCATTTTAAGACTCAAATTCAGAATTTCTGTGTTTATAACTATGTCAATTTTAGTTTTTGTGCAATTTCTTGACTTATTTTCCACTACCGAAACTATCCTATTACAATAACCTTAGCAGAATTGAAGCTTAGAAAGGGGCCTTGTCCCATAATTGGGGTTAATATCGTAATATATAGAGATAGTGAAAACATAAGAATAAGACTAAGGTGAAAACATGTTAACCATTATAATCACCTGTTCGGTAACATATCATTGGCGTTGCGTTAATTTACACGAATAATTACGACAGATACAAACAAACGTACAAAGTGTGGTGTTTCACCAAGAATAACCTCATTTCTGGGGTGATATTTACGACTCCCAATCACCTGAGCTACCTATGGCATCGCCATTGCGTGAACCGTGCCATTGTCATTACATGTATCTTAAAATGTTTTCGTCAAAGCTATAAATACATTGCGGCTTTAGTTCCAAAATTAACTTCATAAATTGACACATTTAATTTTGTAATGGTTCCGTATTGAGTATATTAATGGTCACATATCAATCCGTAGATTTTAAAATCTGATATAATCGTTGTCTGGAAACATACAAAAAATAAACCCGTACTACTGCGTTTGATTCTAGAATTTGTAATTTCTGTACTGTGTTACTTATTTTTAAATTATAATTAAGGAAAGTGACTGCTGTCTACTTGATGGTAAAGTTGTTTTTAGATTCCGGATTCCAATACATTGTCTTAATCTACTTATTTTTAATAATCACTAGCATATCCAATCGGCAAAATAATGAATACATAATTAATTTTCTGTATCTTCCACAGATGGCGCCTATGCGCGGTGAGCGTGGTGGTTCCCCTGCCCGAGGTGCCCGCCCCTCTCTTCCTTTGCCAAGGAAACTCATAAGACAGATCGCTCGGCACGTGGCCTCTAGCGGCCGCTCGCTGCGTCGCCTCGAGGTGTCCGGACGAGTAATAGACAACTTCGACGATATCGACGACCCATCAGACGAGTCAGACATGGAGGTCCCACAAGCCACGTAAGTGACCAATATCAGTACCAGATGCAGCTAGTGAACAGAGATGGGCAAAATGTTATTTTGATGTATGCATAAATGATTTAAGATTATTAATCATTAATCAAGTTTACATGTTGTCCATCTCTGTTGGAAAGTCACTCCGTTCCAGGTGTCACAGTCTAGTCTATGCATATACCCTAATTTTCAATAACATATCAAGTTATATTGAGTCGCACTAACAATGTGACATTTATTAGTAACACCACAATTCACCCCGCCCAAAGGTACGCCTTTTTTATTGTATGGAAAATACTACCCTCCGCTCCCCACTAAAAATCTACAATGTAATCTGACCTGGGACTGACTGAGACACTCTAAAACAGAAGAAGCTAAGTTGCCGGGATATATATAACCCCAGCTAGGCTGCGCTTAAAACTGGAAATTCAATGACAGATCCTAGCATCTAATCCCGTACTATACAGGCCCCACATTCGCTGACCACTCAAACTATATCAAATTCGTATTAAGATAAGACATAACGTGTATTCTCTATGCGCACTGAATGAAACTCCGTGGTAAACGCACGACTTCCTGTTCCTGTGAATACCCAAGTTTTGTTCTTTAGCGTACCGCGGCACGTAATAAAAAAACCACGACGTCATTCTAAATGTTTCGCCCGTACCAGCGTTGAAAACAACGCCGCCCATTTGTAGATACAGTGCAGTCTATTGCCGGAGCAACTTGGATTATACGGAATAGAATGATTCAGCAGATTCTTTACCGTGATATGGTTAGAACAAGTTGTGATATTAACGTGTTTTTCTCGTAAAATTCAAGTGTGATTGTCATAGGGAATAAGGGCCCTATTAGGATCAAGGCATTGATAACTATAATTACTAAAGTAACAACTAAGTAGCTAGATTCTATCATCAATCAATGCCATACACATTTTTTACGTTATATACTTTTGAGATAAGAAAAATCGTTATCATTTCGCTAGGTTAGTGGGTAAGACAACTGCTTGATAAAACGTAATTTTATAAAGCTTGATAAGCCCCACTTATTTGGCGCCAGAGATGATAATGTCATTAAAGGCCATTTCTGCACGGAAAAGGTGTAGTATTTGTTGGTTGGATGACATATTCTTTAAATATAGTTTATTCAGTTTATGTATATGCTATTTATCTTTCATTCAAGTCTACAACTGGAGTGCTCTGGGTAATGACAAGAACATCTAAGATAATTAAAAGAGTTTTCTTTTTCATAAATTTGTTTACTTATCCCCCTATTATCTGGTTGATCACAGAGTGGCGTGTGGTGGCAATGCTGGCAACTTGCCTCCAGCGGAACACGACGATGACTTGACCAGCCTCAGTTGGCTGCAGGACAGGAATCTTCTTAGAGGTATCGAGACCTTGATATAATACATTTAAATAAAAAACTGGCTAAGCGTGCGTCGAAGACGCGTACGAAAGATACCATCAAAAACTGTAAAAAATCACGTCTTTGCATGGGAGCCCCCTTATATATTTATTTTGTTTCTAGTACATATTTGTTGTTACAACGGAAATACATCATCTGTTAAAAATTTCAACTGTAACTATCATAGTTCATGAGATATAGCCTGGTGACAAACAGACATATGGATGGACAGACAGCGGAGTCTAAGTAATAGGGTCCCGTTTTACCCTTTGGGTACAGTAACCTAATTAGGAATTAAATCTAGATTTTAAAAGAAAATTATTTTTAATCAAATAAGATGCTAAGCAATACGCAATGCGTTATCATCATCAATCTATTATTATCCCCGCTAGGACACAAGCCTTCCCCACAATACATAAAACATGCAGTACCCCAACTCAAGCGTGTTCTTAAAATAAATATCTACAGCTGAACAGAGTGCTTCGGTTGTAACCTACAAAAAATAAAATTATTACACCATTTAGGTACACAATTATTATTAAATATTTATAATACCGGGTATTGAACGCGATTTTACACTGTCCTGAAATCTCATCATCACCCCCGTCACCTGAAATATGTAGTAAATTCGTTGAAGAACAGAGCAGACGACCTCTGTGACTCTGAGCATTAAGAGCAGGAGCTACAGCATGTCCAGGAGATGGAACATAGAAACGGATACCAAGTGATGGGGCGACCAAAGCAGCCAATGAAGAGGTACAGGCATCCTATGGTGAGAAGACAGCCAGCCTATAATATGCCTTATGTCAAAGGAGTGACGGACAGCTCGGACAACTCAAAGGAGCGATGGACAGATCGGCCAGGTATTACGTGAGTTCTCCAGTCCGACAGTTTAAACGCTAGGTGTAAAAATGAGTGACATCATAGGCACTCCCAAGGGTATTCTGCCTTTGTCAACGCCATGGGTTTACAAAATCTACTGTAACTGTGATGGTTCCTATATAGGTCAAACCAAGGAATCCATCTAGAAAAGGGTTAAAGTAGACATACCAGCTGTCAAAAACTGTCAGTCGAGTAAATCTGCCATTGCAGAACACCTACTGGAAAGGGACACAAATCACTAAATCGAGTTTTATCGTACGCAAGTCTTTTCCACGAATCGCCGCTTTTATTCAAGTAGTAGTGCGTGAAGTGATTGAAATTAAGAAACGCTCTAATAACTTCAATCGGGAAGAAGAGATATGTAAATGGTCACAAGCGTGGAATCATCCGTAATTTGCTAAAACGCAACCTCTTTTTTCGCAATTGGCAAATCTCCAGAATACGGCTCATGTGCGGAATAGGGACACCGTTAGTGTTGTTTGTGACGGTGGTTGGATGAAAAATCTGAGGGTGGCAGAAGATTGATCCTTGAATGCAGAGGCGTAGACTTGCTACTCCAGTCTCGTCGTGACCACGGCCGGTGCAACCCGACCGAAGCGTCTAATGACCCGGTATTTTAAATATTTAATAATGCAGCGCAATAGTTTAAAAACCATTATTATTATTGTGTAGTTTTAGGATTAGGAATAAAACATTAATTTTAATGAATTTATACGTATAAGTCAGCGCGTGACATGTTGTTATGCCGTTTAGAGAATGTTTGGGAGACCCGTAAACGACGTTTCAATGTGTTTGTGCACCGATTCGTCCGTTTATAGGGAGTCGAGTTACTGTTCCAGTTATGTACTATGTATGCCTTCCCTATGGATAGAATTGCATCGTGACAATGCAATACTTGCTATAACTGAGATATGTCAATTTTTAATCAGCTTAAATGTAGATTGTAATCAGTGATTATTGGGTTGGCACAAAAGTAATGAGACACACTAGAAAAATCTATAACATTTCCTTTTTAAAATCAATTTTTTCGATAATATTCTAGAATGTTGTAGAACATTCTAGGTACTTCTGGTATAGGGTATATAAAGCCGCGCTCGCGATTTGTTTAGTCAGTTTGAAGAAAAATGGACGAGCGACAAGTTCGAACACTATACTTATACGAGTACTTGTTAGGCCACAGTGCGCGGGCTGCGGCTGACAATATCAACAATGCATTAGGCGCTGGAAGTACAAGCCATGCGACGGTGTCCCGATGGTTTGACCGTTTTAAATCAGGAGACAGGAGCCTTGAAAGTCAGCCACGCTCAGGGCGACCACCCGCTGTGAATGATGACGATTTGCGCTGCGAACTGCAGTTGAATCCGGATGCTACCACTCGTGAATTAGCGGAAGCACTTAAATGCAGTCACCACGCCGTGGAACACCATCTGCATGAGCTTGGTTATCGAAAAGTTTTGGCTCGGTGGGTACCGCACATCCTTACAGACGCCAGTCGTGCAGTCTGTGTCGCTATCTGTCAGTCACTTTTGCTGCGACCCCGACGTAAAGAGTTTTTGTCAGATCTGGTTACTGGAGATGAATCATGGATTTATTACGAGAACGATACACGTCGTGCTTTTTGGCTGCCTCGAGAAGAAACGGCACCAACTCAACCGAAGCCGAGTCAAAAGAACCGCCGAAAAATGCTGCTTTGCTGTTTCTGGGATGCGCAAGGCATACTGTTTTATGAGCTAATAACAATCTTATTATCTTTCAGGAATTAACTTAACCAAAGGTGATGTAGAAGACACGAAAATGATTGGCAGCCAAGTGGTAATAAAGGTGAGCATGTTAAAAAAAAATTACATTATCTTAAGACGTGTATCCACATTGCGGGGCTGACATCCCTCGTGAAGCAGCCTTGGTATGTGTAAACTAAACCTAATGGGATGATAAATGGGTGCTCAGTATTAACCACTCGGTTACAAGAGTTCAAGGCTGCCTCTTCAATACTATTCAAAAGAGCTTCACAATGTGGATATACGTCTTTATAGATAAATATTAATATTGCATCAATAAAGTATCCCATTGTAATTGCATTTATCGAAATGTTATAAAAAATATTTTACGACTCTACTGTTTGACTTTGTATTATGTTATCTGATTAATTATTATTGTGTACAATAAAAACTATTTCTTTCAATCATAAAAATAAAAAGCTATAAATATGTACTAGACGTTCGCTTCGAATTAGCTGTCGAAGACCGTTAGAAAATGACATCATAGGCACTTCAACTGGTACCGATGACACAGAAATTGTAATTTTATTTTTACAGCAATAATTCTATCGCAAGCTCTTTCAAAAGTATGGCGGTTATGATAGCGATTTCTTAAGATCTTTAATTTGAGAACCTTCGGAACGAATGATGATTTCAATGATCGAGAAACGCAGTAAAAACTTACCTAAAACCAAAGTAATATTTGCATCTAACGCTTGCCTTAGAAAAAACTTTCAAACAGCGTTGCAACTGCTACCTATCACATGTCAAATATTTATTTATTTTTTGTAAGACGTTGAGCAACCTATGTAAATCTAGTGACTGAAAATAATAGATAAAAGCATTACAATAAGCATTGAAATTATTTGAATTTATATCATTTGTCATATTTGTCAGTATGCAACCCTAAATACATATTGTGACCATTCTATTTGTTCAAGTGAGTCTTCGATTTGACTTTGTGTAATAATGCTATGTTCATTGGGAACAATGAAAATAAAATGTATTATGTGGAGAGTTCTTGCATATTCTCCCATCTGTACTTCGTGTCTGGGAAACATGTCCTAGATACAAAAAACTCTGATAAAAAATATTTAAGTTTATAAATATTTTTTTTATTTAAAAGTTAATATTTGTTCAAATTACGGTGTACTATTCTCGCAGTTTCAACCTGAAAATGTAAAACTATTAAAAGCGCCGTAAATAGACTATATTTATAAAGTAAATATCTATGTTGTCGGTTATTTTTTTTGACAAAGTGAAATTAGAATCTGCGGGAGAATAAAGTTTGCTTTACTTTAACAACACAACCCATTTAGCATACGATTGTACCTACTGCCGATGTGTTGTGCTATCGCGTATCTAACAGTGTTACGCATGTTTCAAATTTCAAACGTCAAATGACCTGGAGCTGGATAGTGCAGTAGTTAGCGCGCTCGGTCTGCGATTCGGTTGTTAAGCAACATTCACAATGGCCGGTCATGGGATGGGTGACCAAAAATGTATTACCTCGTGCTCCTCCGTGTTTCGGAAGGCAGGTTAAGCCGTTAAGGTCAAGCGCGGCTGCATATGCAGTCGTTAATACTCACCAATTCGCACCGGGCACGCGTGGTGGGTCACGGCTCCATTCTCCTTGTTTGAATCGATTCGATTCCACCCATAGGGAAGGCCTGAGCCCCAACAGTGGGTCCATTAATAGATTGGTGATTATGATTTATCAAATTGATCAATCAGGGCTGCATTTTGACATTTAAAATCCGAAACACGATGTTCGGATAGTCACGCGGTATAATACAGTCACCAAACGGAGGGATTTTCATCGACCCCTTAGTGCCTAATGATAATTATGAAACTAGATGTCGCTACGGTACGTTCTTGATTTCTCCATGACAACCTTTCCGGTTTTCTTTCAAGTTTAAAAGTAAATTAGTTTTCAATTTTTTGTAATTTTTCGTATTTGTATTGATATCTAAGTTTCGAACTTTTCAAACTTCAGTTTTTTAATATGTTAGTTAAAAGGAACGAAAATGACTGTCTTTGGTCCATTCGTTTCCTGCAAAAATCAACTTTTGCTAGAGTCACCATCGAGTGGAGGTGCTTTTGTTTTTTTTTTTTTTAATACTTACTCATAATCGCACAAAACCAATATCTTTGCTTACGAGTGACAGAGATATTAATGACTCGTCATAATGATCTCAGTTCGGTGACCGAACTTAGCCTTGACCGAATGGATGAGGCTTGAACGCTAACCGAACTTTTCGCATTTCAACAGTCAGAACCTTCGAAAACGCCTTCACCAGTAGCCAGGATGCCTTCGCCGCCTAGAACTCCATGCAAAGCCCCTCCCTCCCCGCCAGCGGTTGCCGCTCACACAAAGCCACCATACTCGTTCTCTTGCCTGATATTCATGGCGATAGAAGCTGCGCCAGCACGAGCTCTACCAGTCAAAGAAATATATGCTTGGATAGTGCGACATTTTCCCTACTTCAAGCACGCTCCACAAGGATGGAAGAACAGTGTACGACACAATCTTTCACTTAACAAGTGCTTCCATAAGGTATGGTATTTTCGCTGCAAAATTATTAATGTGTTTCTCGAGATTAAGAGTTAATTTTTTTTATTGTTTTTCACAGGTCGCAGCCGCCCCTGGTCTCGGCAAAGGCTCTTTATGGACGGTCGATCCACAGCATCGAGCGTCATTACTACAGGTAACTAATGTTACATTATTATAATTAATTTATCATATAGCGTTGCTTTCAATTTATCAGTTTAGATTAATTTTGTTTTTCTAGTTTTCATCAGTTTTCATTTGTGAAAATTACGTCCTATTTGGGGTTATTGACTCAGATCCGACAGTTTATGTTTTAAGCGGTAGTAATGCCTTTTTATTAGTTTTTTTTATTTTATTTCTTCCATTTAAGTCTGTTTAGTTTGGCAGGTCTACCGCACATGTCCTTACTATGAAGTTCAGGTTGATTTTGATGCTTGAAACCCTTTTTGTAACTCTATTATTAGTTAAATGACATTTAAAATAAAAACTGAGTATATTAGTAGTAGCTCGGTGGCGTTATGGATAAGCGCCGCAACCCGCGATTTTTGTTGTTATGTAATTTCGCAATGGTGACCAAAAAATTATTATATAAAGCTACGTGCTTCGGAAGTGACGTTAAACTGTTGGTCCCAGTTGCGTCTGCAGCCCATTAATACCCTTCATTCTGCATTGGGCCAGCGTGAAGGTTCATGGCCCGTCCTCGTTAACCATCCATAAGGAAGGCCTGAGCCCCTGTAGTGGGGACATTAAAGGACCGATGACGATGATGATAATGGTAGATGAGTCGCACCTTAACGCCTTTAGTACATCGACGCAATCGTATACGAAATCTAGAAATGTTTCGCATGTGCTTTGTCTCTGTTATTGGCTCTATGAAATAGCTGCGTCCTTGTCAGTACGGTTTCGCAGTCAACTGCTAAAAAAGGTCGTTACACAGATGCACATGTTTCGCATTCAGGGTCGCCACCCGTCCCTATTTCCGTTGACTATTCGAATATCACGAATTTCGTGACACTGACAACCCTTGTCGTCATTCGCAGATGTTTCGCAGTCGGTATACTAACGGCGTGAGTTTTAGATGCGGCGTCGTTCTCGTTTAGTTTCCTTGTATGAAATGCTATGTCAGCGTGTATCGCCGCAGGCGTTCGGCCGGCAGCCCATCCCGCCCGCGGCCCCGGACACGCCCCCGCCGGCCAAGAACGCGCCCGACCCCCAGCTGTTCCCGTACCTGGCGCGCCGCCTCGCCGCCTCCCCGCCCCCCGCGCCCACCGCCGACGAGTACCTCGCCGCCGCCTCCGTGCTCACCATGAAGTACGGGCCCGCTGTACTCGACCAGGTACGTGCACGATATATGTATACTGTCTCCGTGCTTAGCTTGAAGTACGGGCCCGCTGTATTCGACCAGATACGTACACGATATAGGTATACTCTTTCCGTGCTCACCATGAAGTACGGGCCCGCTGTACTCGACCAGGTACGTGATATAAGTATACTGCTTCCATGCTCACCATAAAGTACAGGCCCGCTGTACTCGACCAGGTACGTACATGATATAGGTATACTGTTTCCGTGCTCACCATGAAGTATGGGCCCGCTGTATGCGACCAGGTACTTGTACGCTATATGTATGCTGTCTACGTGTTCAGCTTTTCGAATCATTTCTATAATTTTAAGCTTGCAATCATAAATTATAGAAAAATGTGTTTCTTTGGAGTCTAATTAGCATTTTGTAAATAGACGAAATTTGGTTTTCGGAGAAATAGAATAGGTTTTCCTGCCTCATGTTAATTCGCTCACCGTGAAGTACGGGCCGAGGCAGGCTAATGCTGTACTCGACCAAGTACGTACGCGCTATATGTATACGACCTCTGTGCTCCCATAAAATTAAATTAATATCACAATCAGTTAATTCAGTTTACCTCGCAATTTATCTGATGCCAAGATTTAAATTTAATATTTTAGTCAGTGATCAATTTATTATTTCGTACATATTTACCTACACTCGTCACAGTATCAGGGCCGGCACTGGCAGTGAATGCAAATTTTTTTCGGGTCACAGATGCAGTAGACTGAAATAATTTCTTTTCTTAATTATTTTTTGTATGTATTCAACCGTGCCATAGTACGAGGGTCAAACTGAAAGTTCTTAGAACTGGCCACTTATAAACAATATAATAAAAAAATAATTCTAAAATTTGAAAATATAACTCTTTGCCAATATTACTGAGTATATATTTCATTCATTTGTCATTTGTTTTACGATTTGGCGGCAAATTGAAAATTGTCTGTGTCACGTCATCATGAATTTAACACGAGAAAATTTTCGTGCAATGATTTTTTATGACTTTCGATGTCATTTAAGTCAACAAGAAAGTTATGATAGACTACGATTGGCCTTTCACGATGAAGCCCCATCTCGTGCGACTGTTTACAACTGGTTTAATGAGTTTAAACGTGGTCGCACTAATCTCACTGATGATTTACGTGAGGGACGGCCTTCTACGGCGACGACTGAAGATAACATCTGTGTTGTGCGGCGTATGATAGAGACTGACAAAAGAGTGACCTATCAACAGATTCGGACAAGCTTAGGCATCGGTATGAGTCAAGTGCACAAAATCCTCCACGAACATTTAGCGGTCAGGAAGCTTTGCGCCCGGTGGATACCTCATAATTTGACTGAGGCTCAAAAACTCCATCGTGTGGATTGGTGTCGTAAAATGATTGAAAGATTTAACGGAGGTGACTCAAATGCTGTGTTCGACATACTAACAGGTGACGAAAGCTGGATTTACTGTTATGATCCTAAAACCAAAAGACAATCTGCTCAGTGGGTGTTTCCTTTCGAGGAGTTGCCAACTAAAGTGAAGAGAGATCGAAGTGCGGGAAAAAAAATGGTGGCCTCGTTCTTTGGAAGGATAGGTCATTTTGCAACAATTGTGTTAGAGGATCAAAAAACAGTTTCTGCAGAATGGTACACTACCAATTGTTTGCCACTTGTCTTGGAAAAAGTTCGAGAGAAACGACCTCGCAATAGGATCCTCCTTCACCACGACAACGCCTCGTCGCACACCGCCAAGCGAACGATCGACTATTTGGCGACATCAAACGTTGAATTACTGGGTCACCCGCCGTATAGCCCCGACCTCGCGCCTTGTGATTTTTATTTATTTCCAAAAATTAAAGAAAAACTTAAAGGAAAGCGGTTTATGAATGCTGAAGAAGCGGTGGCTGCGTATCGCGATGCCATTGAAGAGACCCCTAAGGACGAGTGGGCAAAGTGCTTTTCCCAGTGGTTCCATCGCATGCAGCGGTGTATTGACGTGAATGGACAATATTTTGAAAAGATATAATAAAACTAATAACTGGCTAATGTAATCAGTTTTTGATTTTCTAAGAACTTTCAGTTTGACCCTCGTAACAACAATCACAATTGTCTCTTTTTATATATTCTTTTTATTTTGCCAGTTTCACCTGGCAAAAATCTTGAGATGTGTGAATAAAAGCATGGATACGTCACTGATACATACATGTGCCGGCAGTGATGTGTGAATGTAGCTTTAGATCGAAAAGTTGTGACACTTATTTCATTCAAAGATCTACAAGTTTTTATTCCTCAGAGCAAAATGTAATAGGGATAATTGTAGCCCGAAAATTTTGTTGATTGATCAGCTAGGTTCCCTGTGGCTTAACAGAGTTTGATTTAAGATTTGTTATTTAGATTTTGAAACACACACCCACCTTTATAGTGGCTTCACAACTACTCTCTGACAAATGCAGCCTTAAATTGTTAAATGCGGTATATAAAATATTGAATAATAAAATTTACTTTAGTTTGACCGGCAGTTTCCTAGGCCCCATTTTATCGAACACTTCACTTTTAACAACCTGTCACTTTTAACAACTTTATATTAGTAACCCTAAGTCATTTTTGGTGACCGATACGAATAAAACAAATTTATACTTCTAACTTTAAATGCAATAAATATATAAATTTCGCATAGTTACCACCGGCGGCGCACCTGGTTATATCCCGCTGCGTCCGCGACGAGCATTCATACAGCGGGGGCTGCGAGGAGCGTCGTACCGCGGAAGCGTTACTCAACCTGGCGGGCGTGCCCCCGCGCCCGCCCCCGCCCGCCCCCAGCTAGCCCCCACGCCGCTACGCATCCACCGAGTAAGCTGTAACTTCCGGTGACGCTCGATTACGACGTTGACAGACTTCAATTCGACTGTGCACTTATTAATTGAGCAAATTATATTATTTCGTATCAGGCTTCAGTTTTTTGTTTGGATCTCTGGGGGCTAATTTTCTAGTTTTAAAATCTATTGCAATCCATCTTAAATTTAAAAGATAGTCAAGCAATCGCGATGTTTATTTTTTTAGAGATATTGAATTAAAGATTTCGTTAACTTAACGTTATTTGGAATTTTTTAAGGCAAGCTTTAGACACAAATATTTTTAAAAGCTGTTGAAAATGTTGAACGAAATGCTGTCTGAATTTAATTAAGTTTTTATTGCTTTTCGATCATTCATATCATTCGTTTCAAAAGCAATTGCAATTTAAAAGTGATATAATCCATAAACCGCTATCAAAGTACCTTTGAAAGTGTTTGTGATTGATTTTAAAATAAGACAATTACCCCCACTGTTACTCGATACTTATTTAAAGTATGTAAAGTGACAGACTGAGAAATTTCGTTTTTATTAGTAATATAATCTAGTAGAATTGTTAGACAAACTATGCTCTCCGAGTATTCAGTGGTTAGAGTTTTGCTCTATTAAAATCTTCTCAAAACTTTTCTACTACTAATTACACTCAGAAGTGAACATTGAAGTACAATACAGTAGAATTGAAGTACGTTTCGTCGTCGTGTTACTGTAACAAACGTCTTCACACTTCTGACATTAGTCTATTGAATAGAAATCATGTTTATTTGCGACAAAGACGTTACACTAGTTATTTTAGTTTTCTCCTAAGCGTTGTGTGTTTTGATTTTTAATTGGTAATGATGATTATTTAATACTATTTAATTTGTAAGGTTGAGGGTTTGATACCTAATAATTGTAGTTGTTATCGCGCCTAAAGTGGCACTCTTGCGTTGTTCTGCTCAAACTAATGCTTTTAAGAGAATAATGTTATTAAAATAAGTTACCTTGTGGATGTAATCAGCAATCTGAAGTCTAAGGCCAAGCCCTAGAACGCCTTACTTATTTACATATAAGTTCTAAGAACAAAATTCAATGCGAAATTTATTAATTAATAATATTATGTCTATTGTCGCAACTATGTTATAGACAAAAAAAAATGTTTACCATTCTCTAGTCCAATAAAGACAATCCATAAACAATTTCGGTGACTTAATACAAATGTTTAAAATAATATATTAGATGTAACTCGCTATTACTTTAGGTAAATGGCCGCGTCGACGGCTACAGTTCTTCTAAAATACGTCATCACATAGCGTTTCTTTTTCTTTGGATCGCCTAGTGTAAAATACATATTTTAAATTAAATTATTATAATTATTGAATAGTAGCGACTAAAATAGTGATAGATGTGATACTATATAGTACGGAATATTATTTAAAATAAATATATATATGTAGTTAAATAGTACTCCTTACATGCATTTAGGTAGCCGTTTTACTAATAGTCAGACTTTCGTAATAAAAAATCATTTTTCTTGTAATAGTAATAATAATAAAGAGTAATATATTTTCGATGTTACCATACTTCTGTCGATGTTCACTGTTGTAGCATCAAAGAGTATGAAATTAATAAAGAGAGCTAAGTTTGTATATTATACGACAGAAATATGGTAAAATGTAGTTTTAAGTTTCAATATCAGATATTATGTTTAGCTTCGCCTACAATTTTTATATTTAAATTAATAGAACATTTATTGTTCGATATCCGGTTTCATAATAAGCAATTTAGATTATACTCATAAGTAATTAATTATACACCAACTACCTATTTTATGATCTGAACTACAAATGCTAAACAGGGCGAACAAAATGTATTTATTTGTTTATTTATCTATCATAAATTTTTCTCGCGAGTGATACATGATTTTTATAATAATATCAATATTTATATTTAGGCAATAGATGCATTAGTGATATAAGTGAACTGTTTTTTGTGTTCAAACTAAGTGATCTTCTTACAGTCGCCTACAATTTTAATGATCGAAAATTTATTTATGATATTTACACTGTACTTATAATATATATTGTTTATTTTAACTGCGCGTGTCTCGCTGACGTTCCTTTCGGTTATTATTTCAGTCTTACGGACTAGACTACTTCATTGACATAAGTAAATAATAGATTTTTAATTGATCTTGTGGTAGGTCATGGAAAGTTACCTCCTCGTAATCCTTTTGTATAGATTTGAACCAAGTTTTTTGTTGATATACGACTATAGATAAGCGAATATGACTACTAACTTTAATAAAACGAAAATTATTCAAAATTGTTAAATATAAAAAATACAATATTTTCAATAGT